ATAAGTCTGCAGCAGATAAACTCTCAGAAGAAGTGGATGAGATTTGGAATGACCTGGAGAACTAYATCAAGAAAAATGAGGAAAAGACAAGAGACCGTGTCCTTGCAGCCTTTCCTGTTTTTAAAGATGACATGCAGGAGAGGCTGCATGCTGGTAGCACACCTGAACTGAGCAAAGATGTAGAGTTCTCACTGTCTACTCTCTCTCTACCAGAAACTCCTAYTTTCCCTAAAACTGTGAAGCCCAGAGCTGCCACCATAAGTGAGGCTAATCTCAGGCTTGAAGACAGTACCCTGTGCAAGGAGAACTCTTTTATGAGTTTGAACAGATCTTCCTTCTCCAGTGAGATGCCTTTTGTAGATAGTCCATWTGAACCTGCCAGTAGTGTTCTGTCCAGTGCACCTGCAGAGGGCRTGGAAAATGACTTGGCTGTTATGGATAAAACAAAGAACAGAGTTTTTATGATGGCAAGGCAGTACAGTCAAAAAATCAAGAAGGCTAACCAGCTTTTGAAGGTTAAAACTCCAGAGCAAGAACAGCCAGCTAGCAGACAACAGAAACTGAAACACAAAGATCTTGCTGCAATTCTGGAGGAGAAGAAACAAGGAGGGCCTGCTATTGGTATGTTAAAAACATTTTTGTACAGATACTTTCCTTTAGTAACTTTCAGTGAACGTCGTGTTCTGAACTGAAGATTATGAATTTTCCTCACCATGGTCRTTGAGTATCAGGATTTTATTTTGTGTGTTACTACTGAAATTAATTTTCTCAGGCTGTTTTAACATTAATAGCCCTTTATATCTCATTTCTTTTATTACTTGATAGCTTTGGGAAGAAATAGCAGGGCAATGTCAGGAAAGAGCAACTCAGCTGAGGCTGGAAATAGAAATCATGCTTGAAGCACTGTTGGCTTCCACAGAAAATCAGTTATTTCCTTTAAAAGAATGATCTTCCTAGTTTGACTAAAACGGTGTTTTTTTCAAGTTGCTTTGCCTTCTAATAAGCCACACACMTTTGCTACCATTCAGAATCATACCCATAAGCATAAGGAATGGTGTCAGAGAAGGACGAACTGATAGTCTTGCTCGATCTAATGAAGGTACAAAGTCATGGATATGCAACAGCTCTTGGAATTATTTCTGTTCATGATCAATTGAAACAAATTGAAGACATGGAGCCAGCAGACTCCATGCACYAGAATGTTATTCTTGCCTTCTTGTGATATTTTTAAAAGTCCCTAATTATCTTATTTACCAGGCCATTTTTAGAATGTTCTTTTCCATTTTAACATGGAACAAGCAGCGTATTATTGGAACCGTGTACTGCATTGTGTCCTGCATGACTGCTCACTGTAGCAAGATATTTTATGCTTCTTTTCCTSAAAGGAGTGTACTGAAATGCAATGCAAAGGCCTTTCCAGCCTCCATTGTTTCAAATTATTTTGCACAAAATTTATTGACACAACTGAAAGCTCTTCTCTACCGATACTAAGTGTTTTGAGATTTTGAAATTTTCATGATTCATTGAAATGGATTCCTTGTTTTTGCTAATTYAATTCTCCCTTCTTTCTAGGTGCCAGAATAGCTGAATATTCCCAGCTTTATGACCAAATTGTCTTCAGAGACAGTACTCCTAAGGTCCAAAGGGAAGCCGGAGCTGCTCCTCAGGAGCCGTCAGCTGGGAGGTTTTCCACACCCATGGCAGCATCTCCTCCTCATTCCCAGCCTGCCAGTGAATGCTCCAGAGCAGAGGATTGGCTTTTGCATTCTACGTACAGTAACGGCGAGCTGGCCGACTTCTCTCCGTGGTCTGAATCCCAGGACCCAAAGTCCAAGAACTCCTATACAGAAGCTGGTACAAAAAGCAACGCAAAGCAGCTGCCATCAGCTGGCTCGGTGCCTTCCCTTCAGATTTCCAACCGGTTGCATGTCCCAGCGCAGAGGTGGAGCGCCATTATAAGCCAACCAAACAAAGAAAACCTGCATCAAGATCACGTCTATAATTCGCTTGGGAGGAGAGTAAGCAACATAAAACCACAGGCATACAGCAGGTCGCAGTCCTCTTCCTCAATCGTGGTCAGCAGGTCTGGAGAATCAATTGTATATGCTAATGAAATTGATAAGAAAAAGCCACACTTGAATAGGAACTTGAGATTCAACAGCCATCAAACTCCTGGAATTGCTTCAGGATGTACAGGGCCGGAGTTGAGAAAGCAGATACCTGAAAACTGTTCAGATATGATTCTGCAGGATTCTCAAAAGGTTCTAAGAGTGAACAGGGCCTCCCCTCTGACAGCACAGATGGCCACGCAGAACTACTTTTCAAATTTCAAAGATTGTGAAGATGGAGAAGGGGATGATGATGACTATGTTGAAATAAAGTCTGAAGATGAGGGATCTGACTTGGAGACTTCTCAGAACCAAACAAGGAAATCAGATCCTAAACTGCGTAACACAGATGCTGTTCCTTCTGAAACATTCTGTGGCAAAACTGTCTCTTGTACTCCTGCAAAGTCTGCCAGCAGCAAACACGCACTTACCCCATATCTGACTGCATACGGTGATCCGGATAAACTSAATGACTACCTGTGGAGAGTACCAGCTCCCAATCAGCAGAATATTGTCCAGTCTTTAAGGGAAAAGTTTCAGTGTCTCAGTTCAAGTAGCTTTGCTTGATGCTTTCAATAATTTCTAGCTGTACTGCCTTACCATGACAGAGTATATACTAGGACAATCAGTACTGGCATCATGTATTTCCATAATATTACATTATCAGGCATTGTATCGCAATAAGATTGTAAATAGATGTGAAATGTATCTCCTAAAAAATGGTTTAGAATCCTGGATGTGAAAAAGGCCACGTGTGCATTGTCGGGAGCCTCTCTGTAGCGCATGTGAACTTCTCATCTCCTGCTGAACCTTTACATCTCYTCTTTTGTTAGGTGTGATACCCCCTGATTCTTGCCATCAAACCAGGTGCAATGCCATTTGATTCTTAAACCATTTTATCRCATGGAAACCTTAGTATTTAGACTTTCTAGTTGGTGTCCAGTGTTCTGCATCCAAAACACCTGTGTGATTACTCTGCTTACCACAGGAGCATTTAGCTGAGAAGCTGCTCCTGTGACTGTGCAGATTTCTGAGCAGGGTTCTGGTAATTACACCAACAGGCTAYGTGTGCAATTGCACATACTTCTTTGCACATTACTTTTCATCAGACAGATTCCAAGTGTGTGGGACCAATGCAYATGCTACATTACTTCAGAGCAAGCTTCTTACATTTTAAAGAAAATCTAGTCCTAGTACTTGTGACAGGCTGATAGCTCTGTATCTGAATCCTCTTCTACTTTCTGTAACTGTGTAGGAGGCAGAAGATGGGCAATGGTGGCTTTTATGAGGACCTGTGGATGTGGCAGTCCTTTCCTGGGGAGTTATTTTGGCAATAGAATGGGAGCTGCACTGCTTGTGAAGGGGGCTAGGCCAGTTTTGGTACCTGCAGTGATGGTGGTGTTTGTGACAGGCAAACAAAAGCTGAGTGTGTCGTAGCTCAGCACCCAGCAGTTGAAAGCTGCTGTGTAGGGTTTGAGAAGTAGCTGCATGTTACACGTAGTAACCTGCCGGGCATTTGTTCAAGTTCCAGTGTCAGTAACCCTGAGAGAGAAGGAGGCTTGGCCAGGTTCTTGGGTGAAATGCTGACCATGGGGCATGTTTCGCCCTTAGGGTGGGTCAGTGAGACTGCTGGTTGAATGACAAGCTGCAGTCCCAGGGCATGCATCTCCTGGAGCAGAAAAGTGACCCTTCCTGACAGGTAAAAGATTTAGTTTGTAAATCATTCAGGGCYGACTCTAATCCAATTTATGTACAATAAAAGTAGCTTAAAATGATAATACATTCCATTCTTTTGCMAATAATGTATAGAATAAATGCTGCCATTTAGACCAAGGACAGGCTTTCCAATACCATGTAYGCTCACTCCCTTTCATCATCTTTGTTGCACAGCTTTGGATTCTGTTACTTGAAAACAATGWACCGAAAGGAAATCCTAGATACGTCTACACTGATCATTTTATGTGACTGTTGTTCTTTTGTGGTGCTTACATTCTTCAGATTACCTGGATAAAGCCAGTACCGAGTTAAACATATCGAWAAAGGAATTTCATTGAAATACTATTTTTACTAACCACATGTCACTCCCCTCAGTTACAGAGCACTGTACTTCCACAACAGCTGATTATTTACATTGGTTACCATGAGGAAAACCTGAAGTTATCAGTGTACAGCTCTAATTACTTGTAGACTAAGATTTGAGGACTTGAATTTATTAGAACCGACTAAATTATTTACCACACGTATCTTGCATTGGCTAGGAATTGTTATTTTGAGGGCTGGTTGGTCATGGTACTTACTAGCTCGTACCAGAGGGATACTTGTTACAGTCAGCACACCCCCTGGATAGGACCCATATCTGTCTAGCAAAATCCGACCGAGAAATAATGTTGTACATATTTAAGACGTCGAGGTGTAGCAGAGCCCATATTTATTTAATATAGCTTGTAAAGTATTGTAAATATGGATAGAAGGTAAATGTGTGGGCGCACATCTAGATTTGTTTAAACGGCTTTAGGAGAATGTTTAACTCGCATCTCATGCAATCAGTGGAGTTGGGAGGGAGGGGAAAACAACCAACCAACCAGAAAAAGGGACTTCTACTAGTATTGTAACTTCTCCCAGGGACCATTTCATACTATTTTTAATAAACGTTGAGTATGCAAAAGCTTTGGGTGCTTTTCATTGCGGGAAGGGGGGGTGCGCAGGAAGGAAATCATTGGTTTCTGCCTGTCGGAGCCGATGTTTTAGAAGCGATTCGCGTGGGGTTTTCTTCTGGCCAAAAAGCGGAAGCGCAAGCGGGSCAGCGGCGGGGCGGGGAGCGGGGCAGGCGGTGCTCCATCCCTTCCCGCCCCCTGGCTCCTCTCCCGCGCTGTGCCCGCCGCCGGAGCGCCCCGCAGGGAGCGAGGGATGAGGAGCACGGCGCTGCGGCGCTGCCTGGCCCCGGCGCTGCCCCGGCCCTGGCCCCGGAGCCGCGGGCTCAGCGGGCTCAGCGGGCTTAGCGGGCTCAGCGGGCCCGTCCCCGGGGCCGGCACGGCGGCGGCCGCCCGGTAAGAGCTCACGTGGGGCGGCAGCGCCGGCTGATGCAACCGGGGGTGCGATGGTGCGGGCATGGAGGGAGGAGGGGGAGAGGGCTTCGGGCGATGCTCCCTCGCTGGGTCCGTCGGGCTGGTTTCTGAGGTGGGCTTTTTGGAGGTCCTGATTCCCCCAGAAGCGCTGGCGGGATTTGCCGTGGGTTTTGGGTTTGGTGGCATTTTGAGGAGGARCAGAGCAGCCGGCATGTGGCGGTGCTCAGGTGAGGCGGTGCGCAGATGTGTGCCTGGAAAAATGTGTCCCCCGTCCCGATTCAACCTTGGACGATAGGTTAGTGTGCAATAGCATTAAATTGAACTGGTCATTGGCGTCTGCAAAGGTAGGAGCTATGAAAAAAGCACTTCAGGCTGTTTTACTSTGCTCATCTTCCTTGCTGTGGGGGACAGACAGACATATTTCAGGGGGTCTCCTCTTTGCCCAGCTGTGTAGGTGTCATCTGCACACGCTAAAGGTAAGAGAGGAGAGCTGGCCGCCACTTACCCAGAATTTTTTTTTCCAGAAAGCGTTTGCAGTGCCTGGCTGTCACTGGTTTTTCCAAGAAGCAGCGTGGCAAACAGAGCTGCCTTGTCTGCTTCTTGCCAGTGGTTTTGAATGGCATCCATGAAGGTGGCTGGTCTGCTGTGCTTGGCGCTGCTGTAGCCAGAGTTCAGCCGTGGTAGCCCCAGCTGTAAARGCYTCTGCATCTGTCACTGTCCCAGCCAAGGGTTCAGCCACGAAGGACCCACCTGAGCCAAGGGCACGGCATGGTGGTTCCCTGCTGCGCTTCCCATAGTGGGGCTGGACAAGCCTTCTCATGAATTAGCACAGCCTGGCTGTAGAGGTTTGGGCATGTCAGAGCAATGCAGCACATAGCTATATAGAAAAAAAAATTAGCCTCTTAAAGTTTTCTGTACCTGCCTGCTGAGCACCAGTCCTCCTAGTTAGCATCCAGCCATGATTTTGGAGATTAAAAACGTACTTGCCTAAGCATTTCTGTTACATTGTTGACTAACATTGCTTTTTGCCCATTATGTTAGGAGGGTTTACTTTGTTAAAGATTTGCTTGTCGCTGTGTTGCAGCAAAGTCATGGAGAATGCAAAGAATTCCTTGGCCTCTCTTAAGAGAGAAAACCCTTGGCTTGAGCCAACGCTTGCCATTATTCAGGTAAAGTATGTCTGTGCACTCACTCACTGTGAGAGACCTCCTTCAGTACCTTTACTTGTCTGACACTTCAAAAGCACACAATGGAGAAAGTAATTTTAATCCTTTTTTTTTTTAAATAAAGAATTTTATCTGCTTTATTATTAAGCAAAGCAAGAGGAAGACATAATTCCACCAGATGGTAGATTGCCGTTCTTCAGGCCTGAAACAGTCACAGCATGCTTCAGACTGTGGGAAAGCTTTGCAAAGGAAGGGAGCAGTCTTATCTTGTCTTTCTTTTGCTAACACGGTCTTCCCCATTTTAAATATGGATCACTTTTTCTCACAGCTTGTCTAATTTGATTAACATAGTTGAATTAGAGTAGTATTTTCGAACCTTTATGTAGCTTGAAGCCTTTTTTTGCAATCCTGAACAAAGTGTTCATGTGTCTGAAAATGTGGGCCTCCCTTCACCTCCCACCCCTGAAATAACAATGCCAGGATTAATGAAAGACCCTGTTGCTTCCTGTCAGCCTTGTTACCTTTGGGTAGCTGCAGCTTATCACTGTGTTACTGCTCTTCTAAGGAGAGGAAAAGCACACTGAAAAGTCCCAGTCAGCTCAGAAGGCTCTGTGTGAAATAAGAGCCTTGTGTAAAGTGTCGGCATCCTKTAGAAGTAGCACTTTGTGTTTGAAGGAATCTTGTAGTAATTGAGAACCATTGTTTTAGCAATGCTTTGTAGAGCTTTCCRTCCACTGATGGTGCCATTTTTGATAGGCAATGAAAATCAGAGATGAGGATTGCTATCCCTGCAAAGCTGAAAGATGTTTGTCTTTAAATGTCTTAAGGTTTCAAAGCAAGAAACTAGGAATGTTTGTCATTCAGAGGGGACTCAGAGCCATAGGGGCAAAAATACTTTTGTCCTGTTTTCTAAGATAGTGGTATTGATTTTGAGTGGGCACACACTGAAGCGCTGGTTCAGTGGGTTTTAAAATTAAAACTCAACTGTTAGTATTTTTTAAGTACTGATAGTGAATCTAAGAAATGCAGCAACAGCTTTATTTATAGTAGATCTTCTAGAGAGACTGTCTGAACAGGCTCTCCCATCTCTTCCTCTCCTTGCTAATTGCAAGTTTAATGTTTGCACTGAGCCCTCTGAGACTGAAGCTCGAGGACTGCTAGAAAAGCAGTGACTTTTTCTTCTCACTCCTTTTAGTCTCCATTCAGCTGCACCATGAKCTGGACTAGGACTGTGATCTAGTCCAGCCCAAGGGATCCTTTCATTCACATTTGTCCCCCAAGTCTGGTTTCCTGTGTGGCTCAMGCATGTTGTATGCTGGCACAGTGGAAGGAATTTCCCTCTTGTCCCTGTTTACCCCACTTGGTTTGCATCATGAGGTGGCTGTAGGAACACACGGCCTGGATCCTTCTGGATGAAATTCTCCCCAGCTGTGTTCTCCAGCTGCGAGCCACTCTGATTCTGCTCTGGTTATGAGGTCTGAGGCAAAGCCGGTTTTAAATATRTATTTGTTGGTGCAAAGAAAACTTGCTTTGGTCTACAAATGTTCTTATGATGCATTGCTCTACCAGTAAGGTGGGCAGAGCCCTAGGACTTAGACTGCTCCCCATGCACCACATTGCCCCCAGAGGAGCAGAGGGAGAGCAGTGAAATTATCTCCTTGGCCAGCCACTCATGAGTAACAGCAATCAGCATGACAGAGCACCACATCTTCTACAGGGCTGGGAATGAAAAGCTGCAAACTGAACCTGCAGTGGGGTGATTTTTAGGATTGTTCTTTTCCTGTTCAGTCAGCCTAACCTGAACTGATGCTGAAATTGATACAAGGAAAATTGGGTTGCTTCTTATCCATGTTGAACCTTGGTTGGAGCCATGCAACAGCAAAATATCTTTGGTGGGTGCTTCATAATTTTGTTGAAGCTGAAAATTAAAACAAGATCCTGCTTGGAGCTGTTGCCCTGCAAAGCTCAGCAAAGCACCCCTGGCTYYCTTGTACCCCCTGTCCTGCCCTTGYCCTCTGCCAGCCCATGTRCTGAGCTCTGGCCTCTCCTCTGCTGCTCAGTGGGTTTTGATAGGAACTGGTTTAGGGCAGGGATTTCCTGCACTCACCCAAGATAGGTGTCCACCTGCCGGTGCTGCAGCAGCAGGGATATTACAGGGACAGGGTGGAACCACCCATTGCTCCATCCCAGTTAAACCTCCCGAGCAGTCGGTGGGGGGTACAGTCCCACATGTACTGGCACAGGGGAGCAGCTGCTGAGCTGTCCTTGGACCTGTCTCACCTTCCCTCACCACAGTGGGACTCTGCACGGTGTTCTCAGGGCAGCAGTCTCTGTTCTGCCACTCAGCACCAGCTCCCGGATTTGGGGATGGGGTGCTGGCAGTGCAGGGAGGGAGCAGGGGGATAGAGGGCAAGYCCTCAGTCCAGAACAGGAGTTGCCTCTCTCCGTGAAGCCTGTCCTTTTAAATGCTCTTTTTTTTCACTGTCAGCAATCTTGAACTAATTGGAATTAACAGGGAAGACCTTCTGCTTCTCTCTTAGAGTTGCTTTTTATTTGTTTGAATACCTTTAGACACAGATGTTGTCACTTGCATAGACAYGTACATTAGTGTACTCACATTTCAAAATGTATTATTTTAAAACTCAGTGTCTGTTTTGTTCCCCTAGGCACGTAATGACCATTTGATTCAAGAAGCAAACAAGAACTTTGCCAAAGAGGTAAGCTTTAACTAAAATATGTGTTGATAATTGTGAGCTACTTGCCTTTGGTAATTTTAAGTCTTTTCTTTGAACAGGTTGGTCTGCGTGTTATTCACATCTGTCTTCCTGAAGGCAGCACCAAGGATGAGGTACCTGAAGTTCTTGAAGGAGTCTTCCTTTTTCGCTTTTGTTATAAACCTGTATTTATTGCTGGCATTCATCATTTTTTTGACTGATCTTTAGTAATTCAAATTAGGGTTGGGTTGCCTTGGTTTAAATAACAAATAATATTCCCTCTCTGGCAAAAGTGAGAAAAAAGAGAATTAATGGGCATGTCTGCTGTTCCCTGGCAAGCTGGGGCAGAATCAACAATGTTTTGGTTTTGAGTTTGATGTTTAACCTCATACCAGCCCAGGTGTCCTGCAATTATTCTTGTGACTGTACCTGAGTCTTGCTCAGGTTATTYAGGGAAATTAAAGTTTATATGATTTTATTGGGAAGAAAGGGGGGAAAGGAGAGGGGAATGTTGAATCTATCTATTGTTCTTTTAATGTTTGAATTATATATTTTTTTTAAAAAATCCACCCCAAATCACTAGAGACCTGAATTCTTTACCTTGTTGAGGCACAGCACTTATTATCAATTATGTTTTAAATATAGAAAACCATGTGAAAGTAAAACCAGTGAAGGAATGTATAGTAAAGGATGACACTGTTCCCAGCTGTCCTCCTTKTGCTTGGCAAGTTTGATAATCCTGCAGGCCTGTGAGTTCTGTGTACTGTTTTGTTTTTTGGTACACTTTGTTCTTGAAATGTTACTGCCTTGCAGTGTAATCTCAAGAACTGCTTCCAGATACATTGGAAGGAATTTACTGTGAAGTTTTGTAGATTATGGATGGATGGTTAGCTACCCGTTTAAAAAGAGTGGGCTTTTGAAATGCAAAACAAATACACTTTGTTGTTGGTAAATGTGTTTTATCTGTTGAGTAACACAGCAGGAAATAGGTAAAATACAGCAGCAGTTKGTGTTACTTTGAAGCAGTATCTTAGAAAGTGTTTGAGCTGTGTATTTAAAGAGAAAATTGGGGTATTTTTGTTATTTGAAGGAAGTTACTTCCAAAAAATTGGAACTCTCCCTCAGTCACTTGCTTACTCACTATGGCAAAGTTTTTTTTGCTAAAGTCCACATTTCAGTTGTGTTCGYTGGTATGGGAAGGTAGGAGGGACTTCAATTTGGGTTTTGCCATAACTTCCTGTGCACAATAAAAGCAGATCAATACTACACTACTTCACCCTGTATGAGTTAAAAGTAATTTAAATGCTGTGATGATGGAAAGCTGAATKAAAGTAAGATGCAATTAAAATGGAAAACGGAAATATTTTCCAAGGAAGCAGAAATATAGCTTCAGAATTTTAATTGTTCTGTAGGCCCCCAAGATTTTTGTAGCATATCAAGAGTTTTTTAAGCAAAATGTGAATTTTTTCATGTCCATATTCTGGTATACACACTCATCCTTTCTACTGCAACGTATACCAGCCTTGTTGCTGTCAAATGGCACGGGGTGTAGATATGCCTATTTTTGCCTCGGTACTCAGGAGATTAAAGAGTCATTTCTGTACCAGTGATGTGCTTGTATAATCTTTGTTTAGCATGAAAGTAGCACGCTCTCTTGGTTCAGAGCTGCAGCTAATATAACTCCTGCTGAATTCCCCTAGCTTAATGTTGATTGTGTCTCAAGTGTTTGGGTAATAGAGTTCACAGTTACACTGAAAAGTTTACAAGAAAAGCATTTTAAGAAGACATGGTATTAGTTAAGGGAAAAAGACCCTACTTATAATCCTTTTCTGTCGGATAAAAATCCAGTTCAATTATAAAGCTTTGTGATGCTTGCACACTGATTTTATTTATATGATGGGAAGTCATGCTTGCATGGCATTTCTCACCTAGGAGAGCTTCAACATATTTTATTCCATTGCATTCTTTCTRGCCACAGCAGAATAGTGTGGATCAGCATTACACCAGAGAGGAATTAAATCAAGGGCAGATAGTACAGTCTCAGGTGTCAAATATGACCAGTTATAAATCACTTGAACTTGCTTCTGSTTCAGTACTTGAAATTCATAAACTTTTCTGCAGTGCCTTTTYAACATAACAATTCTTCACAAGGCAATTGTCAGCTGTTAGGATCAGGGCGTTTTGAGAAGAAAAACTGGTAACCATATATAGTGGTTTACTAAAACAAGTTTTCTGTTGTATAACTGTTTTTTGAAGTGTTATAGCRTTTTGTCCATGTTCTGTGTTGGGATGTGATCTGGTCCTATTGAGCCATGTATTAACTAAGGCATCTTGTTTCTAAAAGCATSTTCCAGAGTCATTACAGTGACAAGCTTTTTTGCTGAGGTTTGGAATGGTGAAACACAAACTGCTTTTGGCAGAACAATGTCACATAATATGTGTTTACTTTGCAAGATGTTTAGAAGAGAGTCAGGGTGGCTTAATTTGGTAAGCCATGGAAATATAAACCTAGTAGAGCAGGTTATTGGCTTTTCATTTAGAATTTGCAGTAATAAGCAAGGGAAGCCTAGGTGGCCATAAAGTAATTTAAAAAAAAAATACAGATTTGACCCCATTCTAATCAGATTCTCCTTTTATCTGTTGTTCTGATCTTTAATGCTTTTTATTAACTTCCTAGATTGTCAGTGAAATCTTGAGRCTTAATGAGGATCCTAACGTGCAGGGCCTTGCTCTTGACCTYCCAGAAAGCTTATATAGCAGTAAGGTATTAAACGCTGTGAAACCAGAGAAGGATGTGGATGGGTAAGTGAAGCACTGAGAAATAATATTAGCAGACASAAGGCTGATGGCTCTGTAAAATCAATTTTCCCCTGTGCTTTTCATTAATGRATTCCTCAGTCAATGTGTCTAGCTGTGCTACTGAGCAGTGATAAAAGATGCCTCTGAATCAATGAGAAGTCTGTTGCTCAAGTAGTTTTGGTCATTATCTTTTTATTCTTTATATAATGTGTATTCAGGGCATGGTCTTTTCAAAGAAATAAAAAACGAAGTTGTGATTTACTGGTGATACTTAAGGTATTTCAGTACCTCAATAATGCAAATGATAGCCACAAAGTACTGAATTTTCACAAAAAAGATTCATGGAAAAATTGCAGAGAAGGTTTTAACTTCCTTGCAGCACTCTCTCGTGGTGAGAGAGTAGGCTAYAATAGTTTGGACCCATTAGCACAGCTTTCCAATCAGTGTTGGGTTGTACCTCTCTCTGAAGAGTCCACTGGTGTAATTTAGGTGTGTAAGTTACCATTTTGTTACTCTTGCAGCCTTCTCGCTCTTAGCTGCAGGATATTATCTTTTTTTTTTATCCCACTCTCTCCCTTTTTTTCATGTCAGGAAAAAATTTAAAAATCCCTCAAATTATTACATTTCCATTACATGGAGTACTGGAGATTGTTGGAGAATGGAAAATTTGGAGCATCCTTCTCTGTGAGAGAGAGTGGGACCCCCAAGCCAGCCCRAGCCCAGCAGGATGTATTGCTTCTTGTGGCATGTCTCTGGCAGCCCTGCTCTAGCCTGGTCTGGTGTCACCACAGCCACTGAAGTGTTGTGGCCCAGTGTGCTGTGGGTAGCCCATTGTGACAAGTGAAGAGCTGCCTGTGTAYTGTGGGATTGTTACTCATTGTAACTCACAGATCCCTTTCCTGGCATCTCTTGAGGCTCAGTGTTYGTCTAACTGGGGTGTGGGATGGTACAAATTAGCTGCAGTACATGACTATCAGAGAAATTGCTTTTGTGAGAGGTGTTTGCTCTTGGGATTAGCTCTTAGCCATGTTACAAGCATTGCTGGGGATTTATGTTGCACAAATTCTTTTTTTTTTGTTAAATTGCCGTATTTTTCCACTGCAGATTATCCAATGTAAACCTAGGGCGCTTGGTACRTGGTGATGTCAGTGACTGTCTCGTTCCTCCTACAGTGGGTGCTGTGATGGAGCTTCTTGAAGATCTAGGTGAGTCCCTCTATCACAATCATTACATTCATTTTMGCCTAACTCTTTTTTTCAGTTTTAGTCTTGATTGGGACTTGTGCACTTGRCTTATCTGGCCTTGTTGTGGGGTTATTTTGGGTTTCTTTTGTGTTGTTTTCCCACCTGACACATTTGTCTCCTGCTAGTGAGGAACTTCTGTGGCATCTAAAGGCAGAAATGGGTCTCAGTCCTACAGATTTTGGAAACTAGGCAGGGGTTATCTGCCATCAGCAKATTTAATTTCACTGAAGACACACAGGACACGTGAGTCTTACAAACAAAAAATACACACATCACCTGGGGATCTCACTTGACTGTTTTGATTAGTGTGAGCAATTGGAGAAACCCAGGTTTGTCTGGAAATTGCTGCTGAGCAAATCTTTTGATTTGGATTGTGTTGTGTCAATGCTGACACTGAAATGGCAGATTTAAACCATCAGGTTTACTGTGTGTGAAGACACTTTTAGTTTAAGGCAGTGTTGCAGAAGTTGTCTCTCTCACMGTGATTCATAATTGTTGAGACAAGAATTTCTGTGATAGAGTTTTGAATAGGAGGCTAAATGTACTTAGTAACAAACATGAATGACAGGATTTGTGCAAAATACCAGAAAGCCAGAAGAAYGGTATTTGCTTGCTAGAATTTAGAGAGTCACCAGGAAACCACTTAAAACCCTTGGCTGGTGTCACTGCAGGGGCTGCACAAGCGCTGCCCGTGCTGGYGGATCTGCCGTGGCTGTGCGGGCACACGGCGCTGTCCTGTCCTGAGCCACTTTGGTGACACTTCTGGAGCACTCCAGCAGTGACCTGGGCGAGTTCTGTGGGGCTGCAGCCATTCAGTGCCCACTGGAGCCCCGTGCTGGTGCCCTGGCCCCGAGGGCAGCTGAATGACTTTCCTTGTGTCGCACCCACAGGTGGGAAGCGGGTGCTGCTGCTGGGGGCGCGYGGGGCGCTGGGTGCCGCCCTGCAGAGCGAGCTGCAGCGGGAGGGAGCCGCCGTCCTCAGCTGCCACTGGGACACCCCACAGCTGCAGAGTGAGGTGAGTGCTCTTCTGTGTGCCCGGGCTCATCGTGCATCCCCATGATCCAGGCATCCCCATCAGCCCGACAGCCCTGCCCTTTGCTGCCAGTCCCGAGAGGGAGACGTGTCATTGCAGTCACAGGTGGCACTGGGGTGGCTGGTGGCCAGTGTGGGTTTAGGGTCTTTTCTCCTTGCTGCTTGCTCAGAAATGGTGCAAACGCTGGCCTCTAACAGAATGTTAAATGGAACAGCAGCTGCTCTAACTTTGTTATTTTACATCAGAAACTGTGAGAGAAGGAATTGAACAAACAAATGTTTTAGCTCGCCCTTTTACTTTCTCTTTGTTGCAAGAGAAACACCCTCTACTTTTCTCTTCCTGCAATAGTGCCATCTGCACGAAATTACTTTCACTGGATTTGTGTCTTAAAGGTTTGCAAGGTGCTGCCTCTTTTGGGAATAAAAAAATCCCAGTCTTTATCTTTGAAGAGAACTGTAAAAGGCTTCAAAGAAATTCAGGAGCCTTAAACTGAAGGATTTGCATGGYCTCCCTGGTTGCTTTTTGCAGAACTTCTAGACGCGACTTAGAAGTTGKTACGACTTCCTGTCAAACTTAGCAGTTTGTTCCTCAGTTCCAGCTTTCACAGAATAGTACATCTGGGGTTACATTGTCCTTGGG